TGTTGTGCTAATGTGTAGGGGTCAGCAGCAAACACACATGGGTTTCTGACTGACTGCCACTTGGGTGGCCCACTCGCTCTCTCTCTCTTGTTTGTCTCTCTCTCGCTCACCCACGATCAGCCCTCGAGCCACGAAGCCACCCAGCTACTCAACCAACCCCCCAACCCAGAGCTCAAACTCCAGCCCACCCCTCTGTGCATCTGGTCATGTCTATGCATCACACATTTGTCTCCAACATCCTTCCAGGCTATCTACTGTATACGGTTCTTCATTTTCTATTTTCTCCTCATTAAGGCAGAGGAAATAAAACATCGGAGAATATCTGAGAAACTAGCATGTTCACATTTTTAACGATGTGTGTTTTATCTAACAGAAATAGTTCAACCAGCAGTGGGCAAATGGTCTGGTTGCACATTTTCTGCTCCTAAACCATGATGCCTTTTACTCCCCATCTCACTTCATAAATCAAAGTTGAGAAAGGTCTAACACTTTGTCCCCAACTTTTTATAACTTTAATTCACAAACAGAATTTTGGGTGAAAAACACTTTAAACTAGACACAGTGATTTTATTTACAAAGGTGTGTTTTGTAGGTGCATGTGATTCATGAGGCAATGCCAAGATAATATTTCAAGAAATGTCATATAATGCTATCTTGACTAAATGCATAAAATGTTGACAAGCATTTGGAATTTCCCCAGCATCCCTGGGTTCCTTCCCAGACTCTGAAAAAATGTGCACAAGCCTCTCAATCTCCAGTTCTGTCAACTTCTATGACATCTATCCATCCATCCATTATCTATACAGCTTATTCCTGAATAGGGTCGGTGGGGGACTGGAGCCAATCCCAGCTGACACTGGGCAAGAAGCAGGATACACCCTGGACAGGTCCCCAGTCTATCACAGACTTCTAGGACATTAAATGTCCTAAAAAGAGATGTTTTCATGATTTGCTTTCCATACTGTCCCACAATAGTACACATTCCACTCACAAGAACCAGGCAAGCACCACACAGGCAGAGATGACATCAAGTAAGTGCAACAGAGACCAATATTAAAACACCCAAGTCCACATTTTGGCATAAAACCAATTAAGCCAGTTTTAAGATGTCACTGCTGATGTGCAGGAGCTTCATTATTTAGCCTATTAATAGGCTAGATTTCATCCTTGTGGGCGAATGCACAGGAGATCTTTTATTTTACTGATCACATAATTTTGGGATGTATTAATTAGATGAAACTTTCCTGTAGCAATCAGAAAATTCCACAAGGTGACAGATACAAAGACCAACAGAACCTGATATGTGATCTGTGACTTGACATCGGATCTCTAGAACAAACGCACATTTGCGTACGCGTGTGCACACACATGCATGCATTCACTCACAAGACAGTTGGAACGGCATTGACTAGTTTGTACAAAACAGGAATAATAATGTTCGCACATAGATAGGCCTGCACGTATAGAAGCAAACACACATCTGTGCTGGAAGGCGACATCAGCCAGGGTGGTGGTACTGAGGGGACTCAGGGGGTCTTTGTATAAATATACAAACCTCTACCCAAACACGTCCAGCTGCCAGATCTCATCACGTTGAAGAGAGAGGTCAGAGAGTGAGGCCACTAAAAAGGTTAAAACAGTCAAGACAAAAGACACGAACAAAGTGAACCTTATCTGTGGTTTTCCTGTTTTTAGCTCAAAACTGAGGTGACAAACAGTTTTTCATCTTCACATCCATTCAGATTAGATGAACAAGTGCCAAATTACTTTTATGACTGGCTCATTGTGTCTTAAACTGCCATGATAGTGAAGCACTACAAGTATTACTTCAATGTTACTACAGAAGGTGAAGTCTAAAACAACCCATTTTCAAGTTTTTTCACATTCAGATATTAATTCAATTTCCAACTGAAATCTGAACAATGTGACAAGAGTTGCTCACAGCACACACATGTAAGAACCAAGGCATGGAAAAGTCCTGATATATGAAGTATTTCAGTCTCAATCTACAGTAAACATTGTGGCCCAATGTATGTGATGTTTTCTAAGTTGTTTTGTTGAGTTTCACCTGCCCTGGTACACGGTGCTGCTCAAATCACATAAATATCTACACAAAATCTTTTAGGTCCATGGTATTTCAGTTTGCTACACATCTGAATACAAACAACTATGTGCTGTTACTACAAGCCGAGTTCCAAAGTCAAATCCATACCACAAACTAATTATCTTGGCTTAATGTTTTATTTCTCACAATTTTTTTTTTTTTTTTTATTTCTTGACATGCAGACTTGGCAGTCAAGTAATGTGTGGTTCTGAAATGCCACGGCCCATGAAACTTAACAAAGAGAAACAACATGTTCTAATCCTTTTAATCCTTATCTTTTTGTGCTCCAAGATCTTTTTTGGAGTTGTCTCACTGCGACCCACACTCTATTTCAGCTTTTCCAGATGTGAGCTGCTCCTGCATTTGCTTTGGACATTGCATTATGGAAGAAAAGTGATAAAAACCAACCAAACAAACAAAAACCAACATATTTTGGATCCTGTCTGGTTTGAGAGCATTTTATTTTGGCACTTTTGTACCAATGTGAAGGTAATGGCTGAGATATTCTTCGTTATAGTCTTGTATAAGATAAGCCAACCTCTAAAACCTCTGAATCCTACAATTCCCATAATACAACTTGATAGCATTGGTTGTAAGACCCTCTATGTAAATGTTCACATCTTTGTAAAACAGGCTTTCTGTTAATGCTGTGGTCAGCCCGGAACCCAAAGCAGTGATAACCCTGACATCATCATCATCAGGATTATCATCTGAAAACCTACTTAAGAGCCAAGACATTATTACAGCTGCCTTAGGAACTTTGGCTAAATGCTATTTAAGGGCAAGAACTATGAGAAAGTAAGAGATTTCCAATTGAAGAACATCAACAAAACTGTACTTTGTGTTATGATTGAAAAAAAAAATTAGCATACTATTATCTTACACCTTATACTAAATCTGCAATATTACAAGTTTAATTTCAAAGTAATGAAAAAGCATCAAATGCAGACTCAAAATGGAAATTGTAAAATTTCATATAAATAATCCTAAAAATGCAAGACTATATTGTTTTGTTGATTATTAAACATGTCCATGTGACAGAATGATGGTATCAAAGAAAGAAAACACATAATTTTTCACTCTAACACACACATGTAAAGCACCCCCCCCCAACATCCATATCTTTATCTTCGTACTCTGTGACTAAGGAACTTCAGACCTGTAGTTCAAGAAAGAATGTGATAAATCTTGGGACAGCAAAGGAAGCAAAGTGGGAAAGAAGAGGAGAAAAAGAGAAAAGCACCAGGCGTGAGTCAGTTTCCTCCTCTGCTGTGTTCGTGTGTGAGGGTGGGGTGTTGGCATTAACAGATATAAGATCAAGCTGGGTGGTCCGGGGCCTACGCATACATCAGTTTTGTATACAAATAAACTTAACCCCCATGCCATTGTGGTCACCCTTCCCACTGCTTTGTCTCTACATCTCTCTTCACAGCTGCACAGGCATGTACAAGCCTCCTCCTGCTACAACAGGGTAAATTGAGTAATTGAGTCCTGCTATTAAGAGACAGTAATGATCTAATAATAAGTACTGTGGCAAAACAAACAGATCTGAAAGATGTAAAGCACCCCCCGCCAAAAAAATTACCAACATACTGATCAATGGGTTTAAGCAGAAACTGTTTTTATTTGGACACAACGTACAAAAAAGTCTAGCGGAAGAGGGTGTGGGACCATCAGGCAGCATCTAGGCTTCTGATTGGTTGGGTCAGTGGGTCAGATCATTAGTTGCCTTCTGTGTTTTGCTGCTTGGTTAATGAGGTGATGTCACTCCTTTCCTGTGGGATCTAGATCTCCATCAGCTGGTCGGTTCCAACGATGACCTCATTCACCCTCTCAGCTGAACAAGAGAAACATTTATAAATTAACACAGAAGGAAAAAGATTATATCAGAGGCAGGTGCTCCTGTTATGTCAAAAGCTAACTCTGGTGGTTTTTGTGTTTTAAACTGAACTCCAGGTTTTTAAGGTTCAGATAGTCAAGTGACAACGACAACATGCTCATACTCGTACTGTGGAAAAAAAGCTGATCCTGTCTTTACCTCGACCCAAAAAACATATTCTATCAACCACAATTAATAAACAGTGGTTTTGACTAAACACATCTTGAAGGCACATCGGCTGTGACGACTAAATATGGTCTTACACATACGTGTGTTATTGATCTGATCTGGGTAGAAAGCTAAAGCATACACACAGTGGTAAACAAACAAAACATATATATAGCAAGCAAAAAACCTACATTATAAACAATAATCATAAATCATTTTACAAATCTTTTTGGTTTCTGGCATTAAAAAAATGTTTGGCAGATGACTATCATCTATTTTCCTTAAGATGCAGAATTGAATTCCTTCTTCGCAACTTTATTACTGTTCACACATAACGTTGCCTGGGAAACAACTGTATATGCAATTTGTAGCTAATGGGCTACAACATGCGTATCCACTGTATGGCCCCTTAATTTACTTGACATCAGTCCCAGAATCTTCAGTGTGGTAAGACTTGTATCACCCTGACCACTACCTGAACCGCACAAAAATAAACAGATGATGCTTTTAATTAACAAAGTCTGCCTGCATTTTCTTACTATCTTCCTCAACCCCCTAAACCATTTCAGCATGCGGAGGGCAAGCCGCAGCTGCTCCGTTCATCCCTCCACTCATAGCATCGGTACTGATCCAAAGCAAATGGTGGCAGGAAGCAATGTTCCATCCACACAGATAGGTTTTAGTGTGAAGGAATCTGCTGCACAGAACGAGTTTATCCTCTGCTGTGCGTGTGCGTGTGTGTGTGTGTGTGTGTGTGTGGAGAGGAGGACAAATGGAGCATGGGACAGCAGGAAAGGGAAGGAGGGGGAGTGACTGGAGAGAAAGGGAGGAAAGGTCACTCAGTTTGGCCATGCGACTTTGTCAGTAACTAATAAGAATCTTCATATGAATTAAGATCATGTCAATCTACATACTTCTCTTGCTTGGCCAGTAATAATATACTGTACAAGATGCACGTCCCAGTTCTGGGCTGAAAAAACAAATTACAGACTTTACAGTCAGATTCTAACTTGTCTTCATGTAACCAAATATAGTTAGGAGTGTAAAGTAAATACTTAAACATAACCAGAATACAATATTAAATCAGATACATTAGTGTCATCTTTAAGGGAGGTTAAGTATACGTATAGGATGCATCTTTAAAATATCAGCACCTGACAGACCTGCAGTTATGTACTGTCTGTGTGTGTGTGTGTGGTGTGTGGTTAACTGTCAGGGTGGTCCTTAGCTGCGAACAGCTTCAGCAATAGAGTGGGTGTGTAGTGCCTTTAGCAGCCAGCTAAAGTGATTGCGAGAGATAATGTATTCTTTCTCACAGTACAATGTAAAGTAAAAGGGAGAGTGGGTTTATCATTAGTACAGTGTATTTGTTATAAAGAATAATCTGATCTGATTTAAGATGGGTAACCAAATAGACAGACTGATTTCAAAACTGTTGTGTGGATTACAACAGACTCCTTAAAAATATACACCAATCAGCCATAACATTACGACCACCTGCCTAATACTGTGTACATAGGAGTCAATGCGGCAGGTGGTTGGCACTTGTCTCACTCTGAGGCTCGGAGCACATCTTGTGTGAATTTGCTTGCTACTACTGTCAGAAAGAGTATGAATTTATCTATCATGTAATAATAAAAAGATGTATTGCTTGGGATTTTTTTTCCCACTCAGGATAAAATGGAATTAGATATCCACCACATGCCAGATAAGCGCTGTTCCTCTGATACTCTTCCTCGGGTTTCTCCCATTCCTCATCCCCCCGATAAGGTTTTCTGTTCTCTCTCTCTTTTTGTTTTATTTTTGCTTTTGCATTTTTCTGTGTCAAATTCAAGTGAAAATAAAAGGGTGCTGCATGGTGTACATATTGTAAAGCCTTCAGAAACCTGTAATCTATTTTGCTCAATTTAGGTTAGCCTGACAAGACAGTAGAGCCCTTTTAAAATGTCTATTGAATGAGTTTAAAAAATAATTATCAAAGAGAAAAAACAATAAAAAGTCTGAGTGTGTGATGTTTCCAGGCAAGTTTCCAGTGCTTAGTAACTTAATGATTGTAACTCTGTGCTGTCTAGTACGAAACCTTGGCCAAAAAAGGCTGAAGAAAAATCTGTTTTGTTGCAGTGTTGCTCACTAGACGCCTCAAAATGTGTTTAGCTCAAATTCACACTGTTGTTACTCAGAGCACCCTGTCGTTCACTCGGGCTGCTCGGTTTGGTGGCCGAGCTTGCACTCTCTTTATCTATATGTGCATGACAGCGTGTGTTTGTGTGTCTGTGCGTTAGATGTGGCTGGAGGCGGCTGCTGTTGACTTCTGGGTGGTCCTGTTCTGGCCCTGTTCTCTAACCTCTCCATCAATGTGACACACACACACACACACACACACTCAAAATACACACATGCATCTTGCTTTGGGGACAAGAGGATTAAGGGCAATAAAAAAAACTGACAAATTAATAATTAAGAAACTCTCTACATTAGCACCTTTTCTGAGTCGGTCAGAATAACAGCAACAACACAATCTAGACATTACAAGCTTCAGCATATAGCCTTCATTTTTAGTTCATTTTAAGGTGTTTATGTTGTTTATTTTTTTTCCAGTCCAGTTCTGTCGGTATCTTGGCCTTTTGAGGCTCTGTATCCCTAGGACAATGTGTCCAGTTGATTTAAGATGGGGATGCAACAGCAAAGATCATTTCAGTGCATAGACAAATGCTAATGTGCGCCCACAGCTATAATAGAAAGAAAGAAAATACCATACAGGATCAACAGCATAAGTAAGCCCATTTACAAAATTTTGGGGAATGCTTTTTAAGTGCACACGTGTTCATGTTAGGCAGACTCACCCTCTGGTTGGATGCACTGTCCATTCCCCACCAGACAGTACTTGAGGTCTGCTCCATGGCCAATGACGGCGTTACTGCAGATCACACTCCCCTGGATGTTACATCTATATAAAAAAAACACACAATTTACATTAATCACATTGGTATTGTCGAAAGCCAAATGAACATGTACAACTACCTGAAGCTAATGTGTTCTAACACCTGGAACAAATGCAGTGAATGTAGTGTTTATTGAAACTGTTTCAGAAATAAGATAATTCCATTTTATAGCAGCTAATATAACAGATTAAAAAGTGAAAACAGATGTTAGTTGCAGCTGTAACGAACTACAACACACTCAAGAACATTCTTTTTAGGGATCCCTAATCCTTGGGTTGATACCCAGCAAGAGATGACCCAGTGGCAGGTTTCTGGTACCAGCTAATAGTTTAAACTGGAGTTGAATATTTTACTGGGACAGGTTGTGTTGAAAGATTTTCTTTTTGCTCTTGAGAGTACATGGAAGATTTGAACATGGCTCGCATTCTGTTTTCTTCTTTGGAGTATGCATGCACGCATACGCACACACACACACACACACACACAGCTAAGAACACTCACAGTGGGAGCTGCCCAGTACAACCACAGCCTTCCACTGCTGGCTGATAACTGACAGTAGAGACATTCAGCCTGTTTCCCCATCAAGGATCCTCCCACCTGCTTTGAAGACTCAGACCTATCCAACCAGACGAACCTCATGGCATTCCATTAGCGTAACACTACATTAAAGAACAGCAGCAGCCCATGCTGTGTGCGTATGTGTCTGCGTTAAGGCATCGTTGGCCGTGTACTACGGTCCCACCTGAGCCGGGGGTGCCAACCGACCGTGCATGCTCACATTCAGCCAAACCATCACCATAAAATTCTTGGAGAGAAGACATAGACAGTCTTGTCTGTCCTGTGTCAGCTAATTGTGGAAGGCACGTATATGTAAGTGTGTGTGTTTCAGTAGCTTGGGGAGCCCGGTGGAGAACACATGTAGGTCTTGCCCAGGCAGTGACGCACACACACTTGGCCCTCTGCACCTCACACACAGACAGGTTTGTATTGGCCCATTCTATTCAGGTGGTTAGGCCTGGAGGGCGAGGAAGAAAAGAGTGTGTAAGTGACTACCCAGGAGGTGGTGGTGGTGGTAGTTGGTGATGGGAGATTACAAGAATCAGAGTTTTGTAACATTGGAGAGAGAGTGAGTGAGAGAGACCACCAAAGAAGCTTTGGGGCTGAAACACCACTAATTACTAACACCAGGGCTCCTCCTTGCCATGACCCCCTCCCTCTCTGGCTCTCACACGCACATATGCACAAACAGATACACACACGTCAACCCCCACCTCCTGTGTCAACCCCCCTGTAAAGCCGAACCCTACTATCCCCCTTCCCAAACATGCAGTGCTTTGTCAACAAGCTCTGGTCAGCTCCAAACAAAGAAACCAGAAATGCGAGGGGTTTCTGTGACATGGCCGGGGTCTGCTAATCCCCTCATACTGGCTCTTTCTTTCCTTCTTTCTCCTTCCTTCTCATGTCCTCAAAGAAAGAAAAGAAAGAATTGCAATTTCTTTACTGCGTGCAAGCTTGCTTTCCCCTCGCTTCTTTCTTCCCTTCTCCTGTCTCTCTTGGTTCTTTCCTGCCTTTGTGCGTGCACCTACATGAGCATGATGAGGGTCCCCATGCTGGCTGGGGTCCCTGAAAGGCTTAAGAAGAGATGGAAACAGAAAGAGAGGGAGAGTGAGAGGAGAGAGAGCGAGATGGTGCTTAGGTTTTGATGGAAAAAAAGAGGAGGAGTAAGAAATTGAGATAAAGAAAAGGAGCCTGTGAATGAGTGCATTAAAAGCCGGACTTGAGGCCAAGATGAGTCTTTTTCCACCAGGGATTCTGGCTGAGAGACTGAGTAGATCAATCTACGGGCTAATTCTACAGTAGCTTTTGGCACTCTCTGTCCCCCTTTGTTGCAACAAAACAGTCCGTTTGACCACTTTAACTACTGGCTACAGTTGAGATCAATCCTGATGTGACGTAATGCTGCAATTCACAATCACTATTGAAACTGGGTTGTTGGCCCTCCCCAGGTCAAATCATAATGTTTCTTCCCCTAAGCTGAAAGTTTTATTCCTTCCTGGTTCACTCACTTTTAACAAAAAAAGAAGTTTGTAGAATTTTAAGAACATGCTTTGTTGTCTGTTGTAAGCGGTCACAAAAGAAACATGAAATGAAAACAAGCAGGACAATCTTTACATGTGTGAAGATGTAACCACATAATATTTGGTGAGCTGTACTCAAACTCATGCTGTACAGTTTAACCAAACCAAAATAAATGACATAATGTTTCTATTAGATGTCAAGGTTTTCAAAGAAACCAAATATGACAGGCTCGGTTTTAGGGAAATGTGTACAAAATTATGCACAAGCGTAAGAAACATGTAGTTTTAGGTTTGAATTGTGCTTTAAATATCATTATTATTTCACAGGTTTATGGTGGTTTTTCCAACATTATAGCTAAAAGGTGGGAAATGGGGGTTAGCAATATGTTAAATCACTTACTGTCAAAATAAAAATGAACTGATCAATCAAACAGCTGAGACTTTGACTGTGCGGAGGTACCACTTTCAAACACCAAAGCTATTCAACACATTTTATAATCAGTGAGATCTTGGGTATAGGTGGGTAAATTAGAGGCTAAATAAAATATATGGCTGCTGTGTGTTTCACTTCACCAGCTCCTTGTTTGTTTGAAACTGATCGCTGGCTGGCCGCACACCAATAGATGTATTGTTCAGTCAGGACTCCCTGAGCCCACAGAGCATAGAAAACACAACCTGTTACACCTCCCAACACACACACACACACATGCACAGGCTACCTAACATGCAGACACGCCCACACATACTCTGCACATAGGAGCACCATGAAAATTCAACAGAAAAAGGTGTGATACATGAAAAACAAGGCATACCACTGCTTTTATATGTAAAAGCAAAGTAATGTTAAAAGATAAAAGGAAAAAAGTCTGTTTCCTTGGAGGGACTGAGTAAAAATATGAAGATTTGAACCGAACTCATCACAAGTTTTTTTTTTTCTGGAAATGTCATTTTATTTTGAAATTTTTGCTCACTAACCACTGCTTTGTTACACAGAGTATGCATGTAGCAAGTGAACACCTACAAAAGCAGATGTGAAAATTAAAAGTAGAATTCATAAATGTGCCTCAAAGTGGAAAAGCCTTTTTCTGGCTAAATGAATGTGTCTGCAACAAGGTTTCAAAGGACATGTCATCCACGAGTGTCTGCATGTTGTGTGTTTGGACAGATGCGTGTGTTCTCACCCCTCCTCGATCGTGACCCCATGCATGATGATAGAGTTGGTGACTTTGACCTTCTCTTTTACAGTGGTAGAGCTTCCGATAGTAGACCTCTTTATGGAAGTCTTCTCTGCTACCTGGCACTGAGCTCCAATGATACTGTCTGATCCTATCTGAGGGCAGAAAAAGAAACTACAACTGAAACGTTACGCACACAGATACATACAGAGGTCTGATTATAAAGTGTAAATTAGATGCCGAGAGAAATGAGGAAAGACAATTAGCAAAACCACTAATTAAGACTGAAATACAAAGTAACTGAAACAGAAAAGAATCTGACTTGTGAACTGTTTCTAATACATTATACTCACCTGACTTCTTTCAGAAATGACAGCAGTTGGGTGGACCGCTGGCTCCTCAGACAGCTTTGGGGCCTAGTAGGGAAAAAACAGAAGAGAGGTAGACATGAGATTAAAAGCCCAGGGTATCATTATTAAATACGTTAAGGATAATGATTCTAGAGGAAGTGGGCCAAACAATATCAAGAAAGCACAAATTTATGCTTTAAAGATATAAAACCGAACCAACACTATGTACAATATGAAGTAAATATGATGGTAAAGAAAAAACAAACAGGATGTGCAATGTAATAGTTTTGACAAGCCTGCAGAGGGCTATATACTGTATGTAGGCATAATGAGGCATGTAGATGTGCAAACATTAATTATGTTCAGACATCTTCACTTACACATATATGTAATATGGCCAGAACATGCACATTTGAAAATGTGCATTTTAAAAAAAACCTCTCATCTGACTCACCAGTCGGTTTGCCTCGATATAAGCAGCTATCGTGTTAACACGGTAGCACAGGCCCTGGTCCATGATGTGAACATAGCAGCGCAGCTTTCCCCCATGGTACGTCTCGCTCATGTCACCGCGGTGGTCATTCCAACAGGAGCGCGCCTGGGCTAGCTGGAGGAGAGGCTCATCCCGTGATGAGATGAGGAGCTCTGGAACAGTAAAGAAAGACAGGAAGATAGGTCAGTGAAGCAGAGTAACACACGTTATGGGAGATCTGCATGCCTTGGGGTGGGCAGAATAGGCCTCATCTGCCTTCTGGTTGCAAGGTCTGTGTCAGTGACCACTTGAGAGCGAAAACCAAACATTGCATGCTGATGAATTATGAATAAGATCCAGGGCAAATGCTGACCGTGGTTTGTAGAACTGTCATTTTTCTGGTTCTGATCCTCTGCATCATCTTTATTTTTCTGGCTGCTGGTTGTTTTGGAAAACTGCTTCCGCACCAAATATGGTACCAACTCTCCACGGATTGATGATATGGACCTGAGATAAGAAAAGATGGAAAAAAAAAAGAAAAGCTTAAACCTACCACAAATGTTAAGCGTTCTACTGACAGAGAGGCAGTTTAATGTACTTTCTTTAGTGGGATCCTTCCTCATCATCACTAGGTGGAGAAGGGATAACAGTCAATGAAAAGGTAACAAGCAAGAAAATTAGGTGATAAAAAAAATGATCAAATTTACAAGTGAGCTACTGTCAGTATTCACTGGGTACTGTGAAACACACACAAACAAGAAAGCTCAGATGATTCCCCATGAACGTTCAATGATTTGAATCAAAACCACTCCTGTACTACGCCCTTCTTTCACTGACTTTGTCCAGGGACAACCAGAGTGCACTACTGTCTTGGCAATGCAGCCATTCATAAAGTGGCATGGCTTCATTTGAATCACATCATTAACCTAAATATAATGAACACCTTGTTAAATAGAACTGAGCACACATCCAGGACCAGATACTGTAAAATTAGCTGTAAACAGGAAACTGACTGCAAGGATGCTTATTATTGAGTGGTTGGCCAATGAATGCAAAAGAACAAATGGAAAAGATCTATAGTAAATAAAATATAGTAAAGAATAATATTTGTCACTGTCAAAAGCGTTCTATTCAAAACTAGGTACTGATAATCAGTCCCTCAGGTCCTTATGAGGACTGCTAAAACTAGAGTACATAAAACTGAACCATGATTTCAAGTTTATGTAAGCCCAGAGGTAATTTCCTCATCTTAATTTCTTTTTCCTCTTCTTTGCATTGTGCTTTGCTCAATGTTCCTCTCCACCCGCTCCCCCCTGGCCCTTTCTTACTTTCTTTTAAAGGGAGATTAGAATTTCCATCTGAATGAAAGGAGAAAAACAACAGTTACTCTATTTCTCTCCTTAAGCAAGAGAGACAGAAAGAGCACGGAGGGAAAAAGAAGAGAGACAGAGAGGATCTGTGAAAGAAAGTCCAAGAAAAGAGCTGAAGAAAGTAATGAGTCATATAACAAGAGGGTGATATATGGCGGTGGCAGAGGGTGATGTAATGACGTAAGATTTTTTTTAGCTGCACCTCTATGGCAAATTATGTTCAAGTGCACCGCTCACGCTGACTGATTTTCAGACAGTTTTCCTTATTTTCATCATTACAGTGAAGCTCTGTCAAAATAAATAACAAAATGCAACTGAAGCGCAGCACTGACCACATTTGCTTAAGATTATTACTAAGTTGTTCGCATAATGTTAGCTAAACCAAATTCAGAACGCGGATTCATATTTATGAGGATATTTTTGTTTAATTTTATGACGGAATGGTTTTGCTGGTAAAACAAGGTAAGCAGGTCTATTTTCCATAGACATCTATAACAAGGACTAAGCAACTAAATATATTGTAACAGACACTTTGTCATATTTTACTATTAACAAAGAAGGGCAGTAGTGAGAGCCAAACAAATAATGAGGTGACAGTACAATTACCTTGTTTGCTAATACCAGTTTTTAGTCCGTAGCATCTTAAAGAACATGCTGGTATCATGTAGCTCCTTTGATTTTTCAGATTCTACTCAAAAATTAAGTCCAGGCGGCCACAGGCCTCTTGTGACACTGTTCGCTGCAGAGGCTAAAGCCCTTACAGCCTGTTTGAGTGGCAAATAATAAAACGTTTGCTAAGCAGTGAATGAGAGTTCATGTCAATGTGACTGTGCAGTAGCATGCATGTACTCTCTGTCCACATGCAAGTCTGTTAGCACTTTAGTGCTCACACATTTTCCAAAGTTATTTAGATAAATTCAGAGACAAGATTCAATGTTGATTCATTAGTTATTAGTCAGATATAAACAGAAAACTCACTTGTTTTCTGTGAGAAAGTCCACTACAGCCTTTCTTAGACAGTAGAGATGGGCATCCACTAGGCCTGTTTTGATGTGCATCCTGGGATGTCTGCAGGTAAAAAGGAGAGACAGAGGGACAGAAGGAGACAAGAGAGTACTGTATGGTCAACTTTTTACAGAGTCATCAAATTACCTGCTTTGCAAAACTCACATTAAAGAGATTTGTCTCAGTAAATATATGGCATTTTACACACAACAAGTGTTTAATACACAGAAAGAATACAGAATATTTCATTAGATTAGCCATTTGTGGACTCCCACCATACTGCACGCGTGCACAGTTTCATGAGGAAGCTCTGGCTGCTACTTGGAGAACATTCTGCTTTGATTTGTTTCATCGCCTGCCGTTCTGATGCTTTAGGTTTGCTTCTCATTGACTGAAACCTCTTTTAACATACCTCCCCTTTGCACATTGGACAGGAACATTTAATGAAAACCAGACAACCATAGGCTTACAAAAAGTCAAAGAACAAGTGACATCTATCTACTGTTCTCTGCCAGCTCTTGTAGGTGTGGATCCACAGAGCTGCTGCTATAAGACAGCTGCCAATGAGAGAGGTTCATGTCGACTGGGTGGGGGGCCACATGCACACTGACACACAGCCACCCACCCACGCATTCACTCATTGACACATGGACACACATGTGGCATTTACGAAGCGAGAGCCATAAAAATCCATTTCATCCTCCAGGTTTCAATAAACAAATCAACCTTCACCCCTTCATCCTACCTGACTTCCTGCCCTTTCAATCATTACATAATAAAAAAGGACCACACCAGTGCTCTTACATGTTTTAGCCTGTTTACAAATCACATACGTCCAACTACTGCTGACCAGTTTTCAAAGCATACTGCAGATTTTTAAAGTTGTAAAAGAAGATTGTTGAACCCCCCTCGTGTTCTGAATGGAAACATCTGTATTTGTTATGTTTCTCCAGTTTTCTTCCAGGTTTTTATTTAATTTGTCGCCCATCTTGTTGTTCATTTATTGAAACACTTGCCAAGCAAGCTGGTTTCCTCTATTGTTACTCTTCTGGTATTGGTGTGCATTGGTTTCTTTCAGTTTTAACCAGAACCAGCAGCACTCATTAACCAAACCTGTACTGGCCTATAAAAAACTAGGGACACACACAGTGCAAGTCGAAAAAAAGTCATTTTTCTCTTTCAGTAGTGGGTCTGTTTATATGATTTTCTGCTTCTGAACAGCCACCCAATATTCAAGATTCGAAAAATCCCACATTACAAGTGGTGGTGCATTTCTTAAAATACAAAGGGAAGCTTGACTACACACACTAAAGGCTTAAAATGATAGGAAACAGGAAAGAATATTCTACTTGTCTTCTCTCTCTCTCCCCCTCTCCTCTGCTCATTTGCTTCCTCTCTCGATCGTCAACAAAGTCTTTTCTAAAATTTCCCAGTCTTTCCTCTTTCCTGTCTTTCAGCCCTCTCCCTCTCTTCACCGAGCTGCCATATACCTAGAGCGACTCAGGAGATTGCTTCGTCAAACATATTTTACAACCAGATGCTGAAAGCCATAAATCTAATAGTGTATGTGTGTCTATCTGTATTAAAGTATTTTATTCAAAGCATAAAAACATGTGCGTGCACACACACACACAGGTACGCTCTGTGGGTGTTTGTCAAATGTATTTATTTTATACAGCATTTCGTCATGGGCTTAAAGAGGAATTTTATTGGAACACCCAGCATGTAACATAACCTTTTTGGCACGAGAGAGAGTCGGGGACAACTGGGCTGTGGCAAGGTTTGCGCGTGTGTGTCTCTAAATGAGTGAGAGAGAGAGAGACAGCAAGTGTAGGACTGGTACCAATAAAGGGAAATGCAGGATTTCAAGATTTCCTTTCACAGATCTCAGTTTTAGCAGTCACATGCACAAGGACAATGAGGGTGTATCCAGGCGTAATAGTTTTATTTATGTTCATAGAGGTGCTGCAGATATTTCTGCTGACATACAGAAAATGACTGGATGAAGCAAAAGGTTAATCAAGGTGTGTGTTGAACAGTCATCATCTCAACCAGTCACATTCCACGTTGTGTTAAACCAATGTGCCACTCAAAGACCAAATTAATTACCAGTTACTTCCATTATTGATTAATCTTCACATTATTTTCTCACTTAATCCTTTTGGTCAATAAAATGTCAGAAGAAACACTGTATCACAATTTTTGAAACATCTTCAAATGACTTTTTTGTCAGATATAGAACCCGAACAAATTTCACTTTTTAAGCAATGCCACATTATCAGAGTCCAGGATGATAAATCATCTACCATCTATACTTTAACTGAAATATTTCTTTATTAGTTAGCCCTCAGGTCTAAAATATAAACAGCTTTTCTACCTTTATTATTAGGCTAAACTCCCTTCAATCCTAACCAATTTTTTGAGCCAAATGACAACACCTGACACAATTAAACATTTTTTTAAACCAGTATCGCATTCACACTGTCTATTTGTAACCTGAAATGTTCTTTCCATGTTTTTACCCCTTCTGATTCAAAACACTGAGCATGGACCACATGCTATTTTATTAGTTTACACAGTTTGCAGATTCCAGCTACAACAAACAAGGGGGGTAAACATCTTGCTTTTCCTAACAGCAGCATCATGTGATTTCTGGTCACTGCGAGTGCTGCAGAGCGGGAATTTAGTGCCTCTGCAGGCAAGGATGACTCAACCGTGGGATTAATGACCGACTACTCAAGTACCGCTGAAGTCCTCGGTGGGAGATGGGAGTCGCATCTCTCTCGCTCTCAAGCGCACACAAACATACATGCACACACATGGCATTAAAGCCCCGCGGCATACGATGACTCAGATACAGCAGAATGACTGTTAATACCCTCATTAGTCAGATTTCCACTACAGAGCCAACAGCACTGAAGGGCTTACGATTTATTTAGGGAACTGAACTATTGCCACCGAAGTGTGTGAGATTTCCTTTAATACAGTACGCGTCAAAACGATTTGTAAATTGAGCTGATTTGCATATTTGAGTTGTTATAAGTGCACACAGCTCAGGTACAGAGTTAGGCTACTGTGGGAACATAAACACATCCTATCAAGCACTTATAAAACCACAGCTCAAACTCATAACTACAACTACTACAACTACATAACTATAACTCAAAATTAGTTTCATTATGAATTACCGGTAATTTCCTGATTACTTCCGGGGATTAATCAATTCTTGATAAGTAGTTAAAGCCTAACATCATTTCCAAGAGGCCACATTTGCATCATAAAATAGAATTTTTGTTGGATAAAAATATTCAGTTTACAAAAGTATAAAACAGAAAAACAATAATGAATTATGTTTTTATCAAAAATGTTGAAGACAGGCTTGGGGGGGGGGAGAAATGAAAACCAGGCTGCCATGTATGCAAGCACTTACATTCGAACTTTCAAGCCAAAGTCATTCAGTTCTGACATTTTCAAAAAATTAAGAGGAGCCAGCCAGGAAACAAATATCTATAAAACAAATAAACCAGACGCACAAAAGAACAGGCACATGAGCCAAAACAAAAGAGTCTATGTACAATAAGGGCTTTTATTGATGGTAATTATAATTTATGCACTAAAACTTTGTTTCTAATATTTTAGTGCATTACTGTAATACTGCCCTTTTGTTTAACTTGGCATTAAATGTGTTTTAAATTTCTGGACGGTCCACCATGTGGTATTTGTATTGATTGAATTTCAGCCCCGCTGTTTTGTGCCATCACAGCTAACAGATGCAAACAAGGTCCTGATCCAGTATTAGAAAGGTCATTGCAGTTATGCTACTCAAAAACGTGGCTACACTTGCTCAGCTGCCCTTCATTATGATTTCGACTTAAAAACCATGTGCATGTTTGCCATGTTAATAAAGACATACAGAGAAATAAGGGCAGAACAGATGGATAAATGGATATACAGTAAATGTGTGATTTCATACTGACTATAATTAATGACACTAAAACATGAGCCTTCATGGTTTTTGCTTGTTTCTTCCTCATGATCTGAACAATTCCGGACATCAATACACAGCCAACCACATGTCAGAGCCTGTGTCCAAGACATTCTGACAGGTAGAGATGTAATCTGCATGGGGAAGCTCTGACAGCGCTGGTGGGTTATAAAAATCCAGAGATCTGAAATTTATTCTGTTTACTTTGGGTGATAAACATTGTATGTTGAGTGATTTTATAAACCTGTTTTGTGTGGTTGTGTGACATGTGTGTATACATGATCAGAGGTGATTTAAAGGTTAGAAGTATTTCAGTACAACTCAAAAAAATGTTTAGCTGAGAGCTCAGTGCGTTTCCATAACACTGTGACAACTTGTGTTTTCTCTCCAACAGTGTTCACCTCAAGGCTGTGTTACGTGTTTGTGTGTGTTCATATAAACATTTCTGTGTATGTGAAAAAGAACGCGTGCATGTGTGTATCTATGTATGTGTGCATTTGTGTGTCTCAAGAGTTCCCTGTGCAGGCAGCTGCTCTGGCCCTTCTCTTATTGGCCAGAATTTACAGTGACTTTGGCTCCATGAAGTATTTACGAGCTCCCAAAACACCCGCTCTCACACATTCAGTTCATGCATTTCAGTACTCAGAAACTAAGGTCTACCTAGAGTACTCTTCCTGTTCCCAAAATCCCACATGCAGTACCCACCACAGACCCTTCAGCCTAAAACACAATGACTCTGATTATTAACCTACAGATCCGCTCTGCCAAAACTACATATCTACAGATGTACAGAACACATTTACCAACAGTCAGATACGCACAGTGGGTTGAAAAGCCACAACAGACCGCACACTGTCCAGGTTCAGCAACTTACAGAATTATATTAATTAGCTACGGTCAATGATAGCTGCCATCAGCGCTGTAGTCCTTGACTTCAGGACTCCGGCTCGAGTCCAACCCGTGACTTGAGCACTGATGACTTGGACTGAAACACTGAATGCATTCAGACTTGGAAGTTAGAGACAAGGACTCAGATGACTTCTTCTTCTTATATATAAAATTGCTGAGCAATATCATGATGCAATACACTGTTAGAAAGTTTGAAATATAAAATGGTGAGAGCTGTGTTGATTGTGCTTAACATAGACCTTGACTCCACAGTCTGCCACAGCTATACTAAAGGTACAGGTATCTACTCATGCATGTTGCAACTCATACAGTCATGTAATTGTTGTTTTTAAGTAATTTTTCAATGTTCAATCTAATTTGCATTCCAATGTTTTATCCATCTGTGTGCAGTGTGATAAGCACTCTGAATTGCCGTTGCATATGAAAATGTGCTATATAAATAAACCTGCCTTGCCTTGAGGACTCAGACTCAGGTAACACAGACTAGTCTTGGTTTATCCTTTGGTGACTTGGACTTGAACACTGGGGACTCGAGGTTTAGTGACTTGCCTACAACATTGGTTGTAATTTCAACTGAGAAAATTGGGGGACGCAAAAAAATGAAATGCTTCAAGTCTGAATTAAAAAGGCTCTAATATAAATCATCACAGAGGGCTGTTACTCAGTTTGAATGACATAAACATAGCAAGACACTGAAAACTGTTTATCAGGATCATCATTTATAAATTAGCTAAAAGGTCTGAACATTTCCCTGCTCATTACATTACATTACTGTCCCTGTGTCAAGATTTTCATAGGACTTACTTCCTCATGATGGACTTCCTAACTGTTAGCCCGTCTTCCAGATCTGCCTCATTGGCCAGGAAGAGCAGCCTTTTCCCCGACTGATCCACGCCAACAAAGTCTCTCTGCTCAGCTAAACACACAAAACAGTGTTAACAAAGCATAAACATTTTTTTAATATTTAGGCACTGGGAAATTATGACAGAAATTGTTTAAAATGAATTGTATGATAATTATATTACATGAGCTTCAATCATATGTAATATTTCATCTCAGAATTGCATCAAACATGCAATAAATTTACTATATAAACTTTTTTTTTTTTTACCCGACTTGTTCTTGCCCTTCTGGCCCGGCACCGTCTCTGTGAATTCATGGGCTTTGCTCATCAGCATGGCCAGCGTTGCATTGTGGGCTCTGAACAGATCGACCACCTCATGAAGTGCCACGTCTGTTATCAGATCACAACTCACCACCAGGACGTCCGTCTGATGAGAGAGGTTGGAAACAGGAAAACAGACTGAAATGGAAACAAGCCTATTTATTTCACCGTGTAATAGACTAGAATATGACAAAATGACCATAATATTTTAGGTCTGCTGTGGTTTGATAGGGCTATGTTTAGGAATATGTAAAGGAATTTCAGGCTTTCAAAGACAGTTTACCAGCTTGTACTCTATTTTGGAACTAAATCTACAAACCTGTTGTGATTTTAAAGACATTTACACACAGACACACACACACACACACACACACACACACACACGAGTCCACAAAAAGACAGAAATGCCTTAAATACAGTTTGAATGGCGTTAAAAACGGGTGTTTATAAAGAGGTCTGCACACTCATGACAGTCATCTCAGCATGCAAACAGACTACACATAAATACAAGTGGCGACACTGCTCCACATAAACTCCTCAGGGCACGAGAGCTTGGACTGTGCTGCTTTCAATATTCACAACTGAAACTGGCACTCAAAGAGAGACAGACAGAATGAGGAATAACTGTTCTCACAGTTTGGCATTGCTTGTATTTAAGCCGAACCACCACACACACACACACACACACACACACACACACACTTGCAGGGCCAGCGTTAAAGTCACCTTAAACTTTGATGACAGCAAATTGTTTTTTTTTTTAAACAATGTGTGTGTTTCTCCTTAGCTGGTCCAATTCTGTTGTTAATAATGTGCCTTAAAAAAAAAGTAATCTTTTTGCTGCATAAATATCTATTTATTATTTCCTGTTTATTAGGTACACCTAGCTAAACAGCAAACCTGTGTATTATATATAAATTTCTAATTTTTTCCTTTTTCTCTTTTGCGTTACAATTGTAATTTTTTAAAGCAGAACAGAGGTAGAACACTTTTTTAGCATTTTCCCCTCTAGAGATTATTTCTCTCATCTTAAACCATTTTCAGTATTTTCCAGTTATGTAATAATATGTAAACCAATGTAGATTTAAACTGTGTATCAATACACTGCTTGTGTGAAACTGTTACTCTATAACAGGGAGCACAAAACCTGCATCAGTCTTCTTCCATGGCCTCAACTGATTTTACATGTCTACATGTGTGTCTGCGCATTTACATGTGGGTGTGCCCACATTTTAGTATGTGTGTGGTATCCATCTGCCTGTCCATTGATGAAGGCTGTCAACATAGCGACTAATCCCACCATTAGCACCAGCCGCCTTAATGACAGAGACATCTTTACCCTGTCTGTGGCAGCGGGAAGAAGGAAAACAAAAAAAGTGAGAGAGGAGAGGGGCAGCGTTAAAGGAGGAAGGAAAACTTGAAGTACAGTGAGTAGCTTTCTCAGTGTGTGTGTGTGTCAAAGCGAAGGGGTGGCATCATTAGAGTCAAGGGTCATGTAGTTGACCTAGAGGTAAAGTCAAGCATAACCTGGTCTGGATCTGACGACAGGAAGCTGCCATGGCAAAGCTAGAGGCGTCTGCGAGAGATCTACTGACACCGAGACTCAGAGACCTTTCAACTCTCTCCTGGCTCTATCACACATAGGCAAGCCACACACGTGTTCCAAAACAGCGTACACAAGCCTTTACACGCGCGCTAGCTCGCGCGCACACATACACACAATCCCCGCAAACAGCCACACACTGGGGCGACAGCAGAGTGGAGGCAGCTGGAGAGACAGAGACACTATGGCCTTTCAACAGCTAGGATCTCTGCACAGGTCAGGACCACACACACTGATGCACACAAACACACTTGTTCCAGTGGTTAACTGACTTCAATCCAAAATGACTACTTACACAATCAGAAATGTTGTAAGCACGGTGGCCTTTCTGTTTTTGAGCGTCCCTGATGAAGGTCCTTTTGCTGTCATTAGACAATGTCCTGATTAGGCAGGTTATGAATATTTCTGTATATTCCTCTCAGCCAAATGTTTGCCATCACAGAAAAAATAAAACATTATATAAATCTTAAATTCCAGTGAGAAATTGTTTTGGGATTAACTAAAACAACTACCATACTAATAACGCTGTAAATACCACTAAAATCAATGTCAAAGTCTAAAACTTCATGCAGCTTTCAATTAATTTTTGTAATTGGCTGGCCCAGGGCTTAGTCACTCCAACTTTACTGAAATGATTTCATACTTTGTACTTTAGAACCACAGCCTACTGCTCCAAGCTCAAAAAATACCTGCCCAGTGTCAACATGATGAAGAGGTGAAACCGAAATATTTACGAGTCAAAACATGCTGGAAAACTCTAAACTACCTGTAGCTACGCGAGTATGAGGGTTGTGTCTGTCCTGGGTATACTCATGTAGGCTATTACTGATGATTCCTGTCATTACCAATTAATCTATTCATTGTTCTCTCAATTAAACATTAGAAAGTAGTGAAAAAGTGCACAAATAAATACAGTTTAATATGATGTAAGACAACGAAAAGCCAAAAATATCCTCACATTTTGGAAGCAGTAATCATCAGGTTTGCAATTTGCGGTTAGAAATGTACTTGAACGCTTAATCAGTTACAAAAACTGTTGTCAGTTTTATTGACTAACAAATTAATCACTTATTCATTTATTATAAGAACTTGATACTGTGTTCCAAAGATGGTACAAAGAAGATACTCGTCCATTCGATACATGACTCTAATAGTTTTGCTTTAAGTTTTAGGTTGTTACCATCTACCTAAGTAGTGCATTTTCCGCCACCATCTTATGTTTTTAAATTATGATTGTCCTATTAATAATCCAATTACACACTATGTGGAACATGTACTTGCCCCTCCTTCATGTTTAGCTGCTTCATAAGATGTAGACTCAGGTGTCTGACATGGGCAGAACCTTCACTGTAGACACGTAGTTGGTTTGCCAGACAGAAAAAAAAAGACTGGAATTGAACATTTGTCATGAGCAAAACAGCTTTAAGGGCCAATTCTAAAAACCTTGTGACCAAACCTTGTACTTTCTTAATATAATGCTCTTTAAAATATGAACTGTATGTTGTCGGAAAGAGGAAAAAAGTTGAACAGGGGTTGGGGGAGGAAAGTAAGATGGTTCAAAGATGGAAACACAATGAAACTAAGTCTCATCTAAGTATGTTTGCTGTGTCCTCAGCCCCATCTCTCACTCTTCTCTCTCTCTTCACCTTTTGTTGGGTGGCTTACAGATTAACTAACACATGTAGACCAAAGGTGGGCCTTTGAATCTGCAACGCCAATGCATATAGCCCGTTAACCTGCATACACCCATTCTGACAGGTGATTGAGCCTGAATGATAATACACATGTCAAAGAGGTTTTAGGCATACAAAGCAAAAAGTGCACATAAAGTCCTCCTTTCACTAGTTTGGCTTATTGTGAAAGATGTAAGCTATAATCAGGCATATCCGTCCACTTTTGTGTAACATCGCTGTTTGAACAGTGAACAAAATAAAATATGCTGCTTGTAATCTCTCTTTTCAGTCATCAAGAGGAATGACCCCCTCCTGCTCACCCCGACTGTACACCGATTCCTGTAAGTATTTTGTTTGATAGGTTACACCAAATCCCCTCATGGGAGGGTGTTTGTGAAAAGAGATGAGTGAGTGTACATGTGTCTGTACTGTACTCATGCATCAGCCTGACAGTTTGAGTGATCTCTCTGCTGGGATTTGGCAAGCCATGGCTACGGTTCTTCAATCATCACCCTCCAGTGCGAGTGTGTGTAACTCAATGCCTCTAATCTAGCTGGCTGCTCAAAGGATTAGGGACTCAACTATTCTCAATAGAAGCATGCTGGAGCTAGTCCTGTTTAAGTGTGTGTGTGTAATTACACTATACGTCTATTAAAAACTCTTGAGTAAAAAGAATAATAAGAATATGTATAGACACAATCAAATACCAGAGGGAAAAAAAAAACATTAAAGCCACTTGTCACAACAAATTTGGCATTTTAAGGTCTCTGAGAAATTTGCAGTGGAAGGACACTTGTACAATGTGTCTTCAAATGTGTATTTGGAGGCCCATTTCAAAGATTTTTGACCTGAGAAAGGTTTTATAATCACTTTTTTATTCCTGGGATCAGGACATAAGTCAAAACTAAATATTGAGGTTACAAAAGCTTCTTGATTCAATTAAGATGTCATTGGTTTTAGCTGAACAAATACGTTTTTATGACAAATTGCTGCCATTCTGAATTAGAATCAGCTTAACTGGCCGGGCGTGTTGGACACGAGGAATTTGACTCTGGTACAGCAGCTCTCAATGTGTATGTACATATCCTTATGTAAGGCAAAAGCAAAGGGCAAGTAAACAATATACCAATGTAAGGCTGCTGTCAAATCTGCAGCTTACAAAACCTACATGTTCAAACCCACTACTATCTGCTTTGTTGGTCATTTTTTCAGTCTGTGACCTTCATCAACATTTTTATCTTACCTGCCAATTGTGTTTCACATTGCAATATAGTAAATACATACTGCATTTGCACAACTAGCACTGCACTAACTAGAAGGCTGAAAATGTCCCTAAAGGTTTGCATACTGAATGAGTTATATCAAGCTAATTCCCCAAGAGAAGATTAAATATCAAATGCATCCAAAGGCTTACCTCCATTAAGATTTGGCAAGTTTATATTACATTTTCCTCTTTAATAGCATCGCAGCTGTGTGAGCTCATGATTTAAATCTTTTTCTTTTTCAGTCTGAGAAAAACTGCTAATTATTTCAGACTCATAGAAGATAGTATATGTGATTTCTCTCCCCTTAAAATGTGGAGCTATACCATAGAAAGTACAGTTCTCTACAAACTCGCCCAACTGCATGACAGTCATTGAAGGTCAAACAATAAGAGCAATTGCTTTAGAAATACATCAACAGTTCTAAACTACACAGTCTCATGGTCAGAGGAGGACCGTCAGAACCATGGCATATACAGAGGGATGACTTATACCTCTTACTTACCCAAACACAAATGTTGCACAGATGTGCATGACTGCAGGATGAGAATAAATGGTGCACTGGGTAAACTGGCAGCACAGGGAGTTTGAATCTCTACCATGACCTCATTTGTTTAGAGAGAATCGGATGAAGGACGGAATGGAGGGATCAGCAGGCAGAATATAGAGGGGGTCTGGAAATTGAAGTTCAGGGTCATTGATAGCGAGAATGTTTGTGTAAATGTGCATGCCTGTGCGCGTTTGTGTGTATTTTAAAAAGTTGAAATGAGGCACTTCAGCAACCTTGGCCATGCGGGGGGAGGAAAAGGCACGGATCACCGGTCACCCAGCAGTACACACAAAATCCACCTCAACCCCCACCACACAATATTTGTCTTTTTTTTCCCTGATACCTCCAACCTTTCTGCAATTCTTTTAGTATGGAGTTGACATTATGCACAAGCAAACAGACACTTTCCACTTGCAGCACAGACAAATAAGCTCAACCGAGCTCTGGGTGCACAGACATTATGGTGTGTACACAAAGTTCATTGTTGGTTTAATTTCTGTGCAGGATTTGTGGAAAATAACTGAAACATAGGAAACCACCAGCCTCATCCTTTAACAATGAAACCACCAGCCTCATCCTTTAACAATGAAGGATGAATTAGATGGAAATAGGTGCATTCACCAATGGGCACAAACCAGTCACAGAAGCGATTACTTTTTCAGGGGTTATGCTGAAAATACCCTTGCAAGTAACAAAGCCTGAATTAAGGCACGAAAACAATCAACTAATAAAATCTCACCCCCAAAAACAAGCACAAAAAAAAAAAGACACTACCTTGATCTTCTGCTGGATGTGTCTGAGAGCGTCTGCAGTGCCCATGTCTCCGTCCTCCTGGATACAAACCACATCCAGTTTCATCTTCACATCCAGTTTCATTTTGTTATCTGTGCTCGTCATCATCTTCTGGACCTCTTTTGTAGTGACCACTATCACCTCTGAAAACACAGTTGATAGTTAGAAAACACATACAGTAGGTAACTGCAAATATTTTCCACCACGTTTTTTCTTTTTTTGTTATTTAAAGTTATTACTATACATTTCTTACTTATAAAACTATGTATAATTGTATCTATAGTTATAATTGCTGCAATGAAATCGATTAAAATTCATATATCTTTATAATGAAATAAAACAGCCCTGTTGCCCACTACAGTCTTATGTTAAAGATATTTGGCTTCCAACACAAACACAAGTTGTTATAATGGTTTTCACATTTCAAAAAGTTCCATAGACTTGCTGTATTGGATGAATCTAAGTCTACACTATTGCTTCTACAAAGCTGGTAACAGTGAATGAATGAATGAATAAATAAATAAATCAATCTTAATCAGAACAAAGATGACCAGCAGCAAAGAGACTATTCAACTCTGATACATCCTAATCTTAAAACACACGAGCCTCTTTCTATTAAGTTGTAATAACATTACTAGACCACTTTATGAATGTAAAACACTGCAAAGTCCATCTGGTTTAATTAGCCTTGTCTGCCTAAAATGTTTGGGCATTTGTTCACTCTCACTGTGTCAGCCTAGTGAAACCAAATTGCAGGTTCTTGGCAGGTTGGCTGCAAGCAGTAAACTTCTGGCCACACAGGATAATTACGTATAGCAAGCTAGTTTTATTTAGGCTAGTGAGGACCTACAGGCTTGTATAACGAACAGCCCTGTTTACTGGCAAGAACAGCGTACTGCAACAAATCCCTTTATAAGCCCAGAGTTTCTGGACACACTGTAGCACAAGAGGCAAAAGTCTGGACTGTGAATCCAGACAGGAAATGCACACCTGGCAACGGCTGATGATGTGCTGGTGAAAGTACAGCTGTAAACATGAAACATTTTATGTGGGAAAAGGAGCAACCCAAAGTGACTGGAGGCAAATTGTAAATATGACTGGAATAAAGAATTACAACTGGTCTCATAATTAAAATGGAAGCTTTGGAAAAGGTGAATTACATTTTTTAAAGGTCCTTTTTGTTTCAGTACATTTAACACTGGTGATAAACTTAACAAATTTTACATCCCATCGATTAGTGTCCAAATTTGCAGTCCCTCTTCTAGCTGGCCAGAAAAATGTCTTGTGGTTTAACATTAAATTGTCCAATAGAGTGCCACAGGGATGGTGTATATTTGCAGACCAACCCATAAGTTAGCATCACCCTGGTTCCCTCGACAAAAGGCCAATGGGATTTTTCCATAGGCTTTTGGATTATTGCCGAGAATAAGCTCTGTGACAAATAACAGTTTATGACACATGTTTTGTTCAGCAAAATAATCTTCACAGATGAACCCCATCTTAATATTTTTGAGATCTAAAAATGATCGGCAGATGTAAAAAGCTATTTTTCAGATATAAACAAACTACATCACAGTCCCAGAACTTCAGTATCACCACCACAAATTCCAAATTACAATATGATTTAGCACTTTCCTCTGCCACAAAATCCTTTCCTCTTAGCAAGACCTGATTTAGCTAGTGATCATGGCTGGGTCAGTTAGTTAGAATAGTTTACAAGTGTGTGAGTTTAAACATAATGAGGCTGTAAAGGATGACATTTAATATCCTAGACAGCCTCTGTAGTCTCATTTAGCCACTTGTTAGCAACTACCTTTTTTAAGACATGCAAAAGCACGAGTGGGGTACTTACCAACAGTATATTTGTCACAGAACAAAACATGACAATGTACTGGCCTTGTGTTAATCAGACCTTAAATCAGGCATCGAACCGAAAACCCATTAAAAAATGCTGACTGAGTTCTGGGTTTTAGGATTCACCACTATGGCACTCTATTCATCCATAAGAACAGATACAACCTTGTCAATAGAATAGAATTAAAACAAACAAAAAAACACAGCTTTAGTATTGATCTGCCACTGTCTGTGTAGAGGATGGTCTTATCTTTGTAAAAGTATATAAGTACTTGCTGTATTTATTCTTCATTACATTTTATATGGCAACCCAACAAGAATGGCAGTGCACCCACTGCCACTGACATATAAGATGGATAGTTTTAACAGCTCATGTATGCCTACTACTGTACCATCACATCTCATTAATGTGAAGATCTAACAAGAAAAGTTTACAAAATCACGCTGGCAAAGTTGCACTTGTAAGATTACTTGTTTAACTATCTTCTGACCTGTTCATCAGGTGTAGAATATGCATTTTGTCCATGGGGAGAAATTTCTATGACATCATTCTTCAATATTATAAAAACATTAATACTGTTACTTATACTATTCAGCAGTAATGGGGTGATAGATGACTAGAAATATAAGTAGGTAGGAGTACAATTAAAAATCCAGCTCTGACCTTCAAAGCCCACCCTCTCCAGCAGGTTTAGCGAATACCACATGAGAGGCTTGTTTCCAACAGGCAGCATAGGTTTTGGGGTGTTGTATGTCAGATCAGTCATACGTGACCCCCCACCAGCTGCCATCAACACTGCCTGGAGCTCCATGATATCTGCTGAGGATGACTAAGAGAGAGGAGCAAACAGATAAGGTAGACACAGACTGACAGACATTTACGTGTGGACTGTACATGCTTGCACGTGGACATGACACATATAGACATCTGATTACATAATCTACACATAGTTTGTGAACTTCTCTATACTTTGCTTTAGCTGATTAAGTGCCAATGGTAAGGTAGGTAAGACGCACAGACTGACAGTTTTTGCATTGATCGTTTCTTTCCAACATACGATACTGAAGTCTGCCATGCAACTAACATAAGGCTGTCATGTATCTGATACAACGAGCGATACAATGGTCAAGGCACGCTGCTAAGAGGATCCACAACATGGCATTATCAATGAGGTAAATGAATGATTAATGGTTCAAAATAAAAAATTAAATGTACCTGTCAAAGTCTCCTTGGTCCCTGTTGTTCGGCTGTCGCTGAAAATGACAGCGGTGGTTAACGCATGTAAGTTAACGTTAGTTGCCTTCACTGTTGTTAGCACTTGGCTAACGATTAGCATAGAGCAGTAGACGATACTGCTGCTTCAGAGGCAACTTAAGAGGAGTCGGACACGTCCTTCGAAAAGCAAACAGCCACTCACAAGAGCGGAAATGGCAGATGTTATATTACTGGCTCAGTTTTTAAAGGCGCTTACAGAAACTGAGCTAGAATCTAGCATCGTATGATGACACTTTAGTGCTTTCAGTGAAATACGTCCGTGTGGAAAGCAACGTCCTCTGTAAAGTAGTTCCTACAGAGATGACAGAAGACGATAGGGAGAAAATAAAATGCTGTTAAATTATAGTATCTTAAAATGTATATTAAATAGAGTGCAAGAACAATACGCCACATGGAAGACTCATGACATGTTACACATCATTTAACAATTTAATCCTATGGGGGGGAAATTCCTCACCAAACCTGTGTAATAATAGAAAAGGTGATGTGATGATGAGGTGACTGTCACGGAATTTAGAAAGAGATTATGAGTTGTTGTTGTTGTTGTTGTTGGTGTTGTTACTGAAGATGTTAACATTTGAACATAAACCTTAATTGACATTAAGGCCGGTTTACAGGGTTTTATTTAGCTGCTATCTGCTAATGAATAAGTAATATAAAATGAATAAAGAGTTTTAAAATCACATGCATTTTTTTTTTGTCCATAGTAGAAGTAATTTTGAGGCATCACACATACACACACACACACACACACAAAGCACTGTTAACAGATTAGCAGTCAGCAGCCACCCAACTACTCCTCCAGACTTCAAGTTTGAAAACTCCCAGTTCACAGAGCTGAGACGTAACAGCAAATTGAGCTTGGGGAATGCGGCTTTAGTTTTGTTTTGTTTGCTCTGGCCAGGAGATGAGCTTGACTGCTCACTGCTGCTTGCTTGAAAGCAGAAGAGCAAGGAAAAAAGTGAAGGATGAGGGAGAGAAAAGAGAGAAAGAGACAAACAAACTTATCTGTCTGCTGCTACCTGAATGCCAGAATAATTAAATCAAATAATAATGGAATTCTGGCAAGTGAAATGTTGGACAAGAAAGATGGAGGAAGTAAAAACAGGTTAGAGACACAGGTTTCTGGAATAGAGGTCTTTAAGAAATGGGGAAAACAAGCAGAGGTGAGGCAACTTAAAGCCTAATATATCTGGATGGAGTTGTTAAAAGAAACAATAAAGTCAGCCCATTCTTTTACCTATTTCATTTTTCACTTAGAAGGTTAAACATACAGTAGAGGAAGCATGAATTAGCTATACTCCCTTATCCTTGAGAGGCATGGTACACCATGAACAGGTCAGCACTCTCTCAGGGCTGACATATATAGACAACTATTCACTCACATTCACACCTATGGGCGGTTTTGACTCACCAGTGAACCTAACCCACATGTCTTTGGTGTGTTGGAGGAAACCAGAGTACCAGACCAGAGACACAACAAGAAATCCATAATGGTTATATTAGAACAATGTAAAACAATATAGTTACAGTTTCAATATGACCTTAGGAAAAGCTCTCACCAGTAATTCTGGTTCAAAGTTAAGAGCTTATCTTATAGCTTAGAAATTCTAAATTATCCAGTGATCTGGTGACAAAACAGAGATGCTGGTTAAATCTGATAGATATAGATTTAGATCCTACTGTGGGTCAGACTCATAAAAACACTGGCTTCTATACAGTACATACCCACAGGGCAACCAGTAGTATTGTTTACATTACCCCCTTTCAGTCTCAGATGTCACACTCCCAGTTCAAAAATTATAATCAGCAACCCCAAGTCAAGGTAAACCCGATGACACAATAAGTTTATTTACTTTGATTTCACAAAGAGCCTCCAATACCATAGAAGACATTATAGGCAGACTAGTACAACTAAACATGTCTTGATGTTTTTTATTATTGGCTTTTTACATAAGCTTGACTTTGGAAGTATTAAACACATTTACTTAAAATCTCACAGTCAAATGTAAAATAGCTACAACCTTTACATTATAAATTCTCAGCTGGTCTGCAAAGTTACTATTGATGGCATTTTGGTCATGTACTTCACCAAGGACACTGCAAATACTGTACACTCATGAAGGCAGATGAAATCATATAGGCATATCCTTTTTCCTGGAAAAGGCTATGCTATTGCATCATCTTGTATTTCATATAGCACTTTTGTTATAAGAAGAAAGTGAGTGTGTGCATGACAGACAGGAACAGATTGTTATCAACATTTGTCTTCGCTCTTTTCTGTGGGAAATTCTGTGAGAATGAGGGCGAGAGACTTCACAGGCAATTGAAAATCCACTGATCCCTTGCATTTTGCATCTCGTCAAAGCCAGGCTAATTTGTCATATAACGACATCTGTCTAAGTGATGAGTGGTGGGGCAAATGAAAAAGACACAAACACAGAATCCCACAGCTCTAGGATAGAACAAGATGGAGATAGAAAAGTGAACATGCTTAGAGGCAAGTGTGTAGGTCTAGTTACACAATGACTTGAAATGGAGCCCTAAGATTTCCTCTGATTACCTCCTCCCTCTTTGGCTCTGTTGCTGCATCTTCTAAATGATTCTCAATTCACTGAAACAAGCCAGTTGGATTAGCTTCATTTAGGTCATAAACATTTGTAGCACAGACCACCCAGGGAGCGAGCAGAGCCAAGGGGGGAGGTTGCTGTGTGTGTGTGTGTGTGTGTGTGTGTGTGTGTGTGTGTGTGTGTGTGTGAAGCCTCCCTCTGAGTTTAGAGGTAAGCACTGCGGCACACACACTCATACTGTATGTGGTCTTACACATGTGCACTTTCATATACACAGATACATACATGGTGGTTTGCATTTGCACTGATTCCAGTACCAGTGCACTGTGGGGCCCTCACCGCTGCCGTGGAAACCAAAACTGGCCAATGTCAGAGATGAACATACTGTACACACAAGCCAAAAATAAAGTTGTCTCACTGCTCTGCTGCTTAGCGTGCTGCTGATGTTCACTGGGTTTGATATCTCATTATATATGATTTTAATTACGTTGAGTGTAAGTTGATTTGTTAGCCAGGCTTTTACAAAATACACATCATTGTCTTATTAGAGTAACACCCATAAACCAAACAGATTTGTTCATCACTTCTCAAATCCAGCTGTTAAACATTAAGTGTCATTGACCCAAACAACTGTGATACTAAGCATGTTTTCCAAGGACTTTCACAAATAAATGTTTTTTTCTTTTTCTCCCTCAAGTTCACCAGTCAGCGTCACCGGACCTTGAAATACTTTTTTTTCTCTTGCACACAGTTGGAGTAATTCTTCTCTTGTTACTCTCCACATGTAGGAGGGATTTGAAGGCCAAGCTGGTGTCAGAACCAGGAAATTTCTGGGTTGGGTTTTGAAGAGCTAGAGTGGGAAAAGCCGGGCAACTTCCTGCTGGAAGGCACTGGCACTTTTCTCTGTAAGCTGCTTGTCTGTCTAATTGGAGGTGCGTCTATCACGTCTAACCGTGTGTGTTGTTCATTCACCTGCCTCTTTGCTTGTTTACCTCTGTTTATTTGCATTGGCCTCCAGTCTCACTGCTTGTTATTTCTGATTATGTTTTGTTTAGGTTAAGTTGTGCCTTATCGTCCAATCACTCTCGGTGCCATACATCACATCTGACTGGACCACCTACACCAAATGTTGCTTCCACCTGACTACAAATAATCTGAAAAACTTGGTTTAGTCTTATATTTGAGGACTGTACATTTACCTTTTCAACTGTAGGTGTTCTGAACAGAACAAGTACTGCCTCATGTGAAACAGAGTACTAAGATCAAAAAGTAGGTAAAAATGCTAAATTTATCTACTTTGCTTTATACAGGAGGATTCAGTTGTTGTTTTTTTCTTCAAAGTAGGTGCTGCACAAGGTAGGGCTGTCTTATAGTCGGGAGTGTGTGAGTGATGAGGAGGTAACTGGTATTGCTTTACAGATGATGTAATGAAGGTGTGTAAAGGAAAAAAACAACAATGGGGAAAGCAAGATGGGAAGAAAGAAAAGAACTATTTAAGTAAGAGAAAGGAATCCCAGCTTAGCTTAGCTTGTCAACAGCAGCTCCCCTGTCTTCTGTGTGACTCTGTGTGTGTGTCTGTCTGTGGTCACATTATGTCTGACCGACCGTCCGCTGTCTGGGAGGTCCCTCAACCACGCAGGGCAAACATGTACAAACACACACATACACACAAATGTTGTGTTTGCGTCTCTTCAGGGGACATTACAATGAGGTACATTCATTTTCTTCAGGCTTACCCTAATCTTAACCTAGCCCTAACCTCACCCTAACCTTAAACCAAGTCATTGCTCTAAAATGTAATGATTTACATTTTGGGGGCTTGCTTTTTGTTCCCATAAAAACATTGATTCCACACAATGTGACTGTGCGAATAGATTTACGTGCCCACAACATAAGTAATTTTATAGATATATATAGTATGTAGAAAGTATGTATGTATTCTAACTCCTAGCGAACTCCTAAAAGACCTAAAAGCACATATTTAGGATGCTTTACTAAATCGCCACTCTCCTCTTTTGAAATGCTTCATGGGTAAGCAATGACTCAGCAATGGGTTTAGCCCCTCTTATATATAAACCTGTCCTGTGTTATGGAAAACACACCCAAATATTTGGTTTTGTTTGATCTCTTTCTATCTGGTGGCCCACATGTATAGTTAAACATTCCTTCCCCTTCAGCAAAATAAAGAGAGTGCACATGCACACACACATAGAGCTATACATGCATGCACATACACACACAGAGAAAATCTTCTTTTCAACTGAAATAAATGTTTATAACATTCCAAACATTTAGTGTGTGAGACAATATGTGTGGTCCAGCCTGCGCCCAGCATGAGGTTTGAGGTCAAGGTGTTTGTGTGAGTATGTCCTGAGTCTCTTATAAGCACCAATGCTTCCCTCACTTGCGTCTTTTCTTTGAGTCTTAGTCCCACCCATGGAAAATGTGAGGTAAAGATGCGAGGAAAAGCTGTGGGGACAGAGGAGGCGAGGAAAATTATAAACTGGCTTGAGACATTCTTTCTTTGTAGTCTTCATCTGAAGCATCCGATCACCAAATGATGTGCAGTGTATAGGTGTGTCGGTCCACAAAAGACTTCTTCGAAGGATGTGCTCATGTATCATTGCTCATGGCTCCTCCAATATCCTCCTCACTCCTCAGAGCAAGAATTAAAGCTTTGGGGCGGCCTTGGACCGAA